GGGGGATATAGAGGAAAGAGCTTCCACCTGCTGCAGGTCACCTTCAGCTGCTGCACCAGGCCGTCCACCTTGTCGAAGTCCACCTCGGGCTCGTTTCTGCATGTGAATCTCAGAGCAGAGAAGAGACAAGATGAGTCTGTATCCGACTGAGACCAGAATAACGAGAGCAGAGGGGAGAGAGGGGGCTGGTATACGGACATCATCAGGCCGGTGATGTCGTTGATGATCCTCTCGGCGTCGATGAGGAAGCGGTTCATGACCTCAACGACGTGGGCCGGGGTTTCGCGGCCCTGCTCCCGCATCCTCTGCAGCTGCAAGAAAGCGTCGTCCACCAGACCCTAGATCCATCACATACGCCAAGGCAAACGTCAGATCAGCCAACCAGCCAGGCCAAAACCGGTCCAAGACGGCGATGCTCGGCAATTCCAGGCCACGATTAGGGGTGTAGATGGGACGTTGATGGGAGGAGGGAGGGGGCCTCACTGTGTTGAACATGGTGGCGATGAGGACGTTGATCTGGCCCCTTATCGCGGCGGCCGCCATGGCTTGCAGGAACTGGAGGCAGGGAGCGCTGGGGAAATCGGAGCTGCGGCGGCGGCGGCGTCGGAGTGGATGAGGAGTTGAGGGGGGATGGAATGGGATCCCGTATGTATAAAGCTCGACTCACGAGCTCTCTCGCGGAGGCGTTTTGGCAGTGACTGCTGGCTTTAGTGAACTACTTCGTCGTGGCGCCATTGATACAATGGAAACGGCGTGCGTGCATGCATGCAGATGGAGTGACGCTGACGAGAAACCGGTAAAGAAAGTTGTGTGTGGAGTACTCTTCTCTGCGGCCTGGAGTGCCCGATTTTTTTGCGGGAAACCGGCAGGAGCACTTCCTTTCCGTATTAGACGGAAAAGAGTGCCCCATGCATAGCCCATCCACCAGCAAATCAACGCACCCATGGAATTCGAACCCACGTATTAAAAAATGGTCATATAATCAATGTGCACATATTTTAAAATATCTTCCTGTAACTTCGTAAAAATTGTCACATTCTCTAAAAAAGTGTTCAACCATTTATAAAAAAGTTCATGCAATTTAAAAGCTGATCGCTCAATTTAAAAATTCTTCATGTAATTAAAACAGAAGTTCAGATTGAAAAACATGTCCATGTACTTCTTTTTGAGTTTACCTGTAGTTCTAAAAAAGGTTCATGCACTTTGTAAAAAATTGTTCATGCAATTAAAAAATTTCACGTTTTAAAAAATGTTCATATTACTGTAAAATTTACTTATTAATTATTTAAAAATCCAGTAATTATAAAAAACTCCACATATCTTTTTGAAAAAATTCCAGCAATTTCTCAAAATATCAAGGATGAACTTTTTTAATTCATGATGGATAGTTTCAAGATAGATGGCAAACAATTTTTAATACACGATGAACATTTTTGAACATGGACTAATTTTCTTAGTACGGGATCAACCTTATTAAAGTACACAACGAATATTTTTTTAAACACTAGAAACATTTTTGATATAACGAATGATGAACAGTTTCTTGATACATGGTGAACACATTTAATAAAAGATGAACATTCATACTATTTGATGAATATTTTTAAAACATACGTGATCTTTTTCCTAAAGGGGAATTAAGGCCTGCATTTTACCAAGGTTGTGCCACTAACGCATACGGAGAAACTAGGCAAATGCCGCTATGCGTCGTACCACCTGGATGTAAACTACATGAGCTGCGGCGTCCGTGCTCCCACCTTGTCAAAGTCCACTGCGGGCTGCTCCCTGTGAATTCCAGAGCAGACAAGATGAGTCAGTATGCGAGACCAAGAGCAGAGGGAAAGTTAGAGGGCGTGGGGACGGTGGTATGGACATCAGTGTGTCGATGCCGTCGAGGATCTTGTAGGCTGCGTTGATGAAGAGGCGGGCTACATCAACAGCGGTGATGTCCCCCCGCAGCTCCTCAAACGTCTCCTTGTCCACCACACCCTGGATTGCAAAGTCGAAGGCCAAGTCAGACGTCTAGCTAGCCATGCCAATACCTATAACCGCACGACTAGATGGGAGGGGATGGGTAGGGGACTGGGTCACCTCGGCGTACATGGAGGCAATTTGGGCGTTGAGCTAGGCCCTCAATGTTGCGGACGCCATGGCGAGGAGGTTCAGGGGATTGAGCTGACACGGAGGGAATTCGGTGGCTGTGGAGAACAAGGACGGGAGGAGTGAAGGTTGTATTGTTGGGATCACAAGGGTCTCTCACGTAGCCATTTGGCAGTGACTGCTGTACTACAACAAGTCTAGCTGATCAGTAAATTATAGAGGAGTAAACTGGCGACTAAACCTTAGTGAAGTATTTTTACTCCATTAAGTTTTGGTTATTTCTAAATGATCTCTAAATTTAGCGGAGTAAAACTTATGTTTGGTTCATACATTTCATCGAACACCACTATGCGCCTCTGTGACGATGGTGACCAGGCCGATAACGCTGGTGAGCAAGTCAGAGGTCGCACACACCAGACATGACACGTCTGCCTGCACTAATCAAAGCTGGCACTAGTGTCCGCCGTACCCTACATGCTCGTGCTCGAGCTGGATGAGGAGTTGGACCCGATCAAGGTGCTCTTACGTGCATATTTCAGTCACAGCCGTGGGCACCTTGTTCTTCAGCATATTGCTGTAGGTCTCAGTCACCCCCATGGGCACCTTGTTCTTGAACACGTTGTTTACTTGCAGGTTTCAGTGACCGCCGTTCACACCACAGAAGAGCTCGCCCATGCCGCTGCTCCGGCCGATGAGGAGGACGCGGCCGGTGAGGAGTGCGTAGAGGAACGATGACGCGGTGGCGAGAGTGTGGTTACCGAGGCCGCAGTTGTAGACAGAGACCACATACTTGCACTCAGCATTGAGAACACTCCTACCGGCGCTCAACTGCTGGATGGCGCTCGGATGTACGCGCCGCTGCCGGGCCGCACCACCGCTGGAGCTCGCCGTGGAAACATATGATTTTAAGTGATCGGATAGAGTTGCTTATGCATGGAGCTACTGGTTGTTTGTCCACGTGTCCACGGAAGAGAGTGCCGGTTTCTGGTCGACTCGATAGCCATGCGCAACAAGATTGCCGTATGGGCTCTCCAATGCCCTTGCTTGGGTGTTATCGCTTGCTCGTAGCCCATCAACTACAAACAACACGGAGACACGTTCCAGCCCACGGTAATGCTGGTCCTGAAATGGGTAGGGCCATCAATTCTAGAACGGGCCATTCAGTCCTGAGTTTCACTCAAACAAAAGTTTCGCTCTTCAAATGGGTTGGGCCGTCCATTCTAAGGGTCAGTGGCTATGTGATCACTGGATGTCACCCCGTCGATCATCCCCTCTATTTTGCCCGTCCTCCGGCATGTCCGTGGTGCCATCGTGCTTGTAGCAGGCCAAACTAAAGATTTCAACCGAAAAGAGATGTTTAACATATCCACATATGGTGATTTTCTGCACTATCTGTACACCAGCCAACAACAAGACATGCTTTGAGAGAGACATCACAACATACAACAAAATAAAGTCACAAGCAATCAACCAACTAGGTATAGGGTTTACACATGGCCTGCAGGTAGGCGGCACTCCATACATGACACACAAGTTTATGGACTTGACAAACATACATCGACATCACAACAAGTTTCATTCACAGGGTTTCACACGCAGCCTCTTGTGCTAGACAACCTTTGAACACTGCCGCGTCTTCGGAGACACATACACCCCATAATGCAAGGGATCGCATGGGGCCATGATCTTTCCCCTTTACTTGCCGCTACTTAGGAGGCTGCGATCTGCTCCTTTAGCTGGATCCGAAGATGAATAATAGGTCAATGATTAAAACAAGTACCTTCCAAAAATTATTACGGCAATTCTATTGCACACAATGGTGCTAAAGTCACATATTGTCACTAATCAGCCATAATACAAATCGGTCTATTTCTTATTTGGGTATTTGTCAAAGATTAATTTAAGCTTGGAAATAAACAAGTTCCATTAGTTTTTTAGAGCTACCCCATACATCTATCAAATGCGATGACAAAATTACAACATAAATATTTAACAGATATATGAGACTTTTCGATATCTCAAACTAAGCGCTCCAAAACTAAACGTCAAAAGAATAAGGTTAAAGATTTAAGGTTGTTCTTTTCCCCCAATTTAAACAATATATGGACAATCTATGGATTATGAAACTAGTGAGAAATTGGTATCAATATCCAACATTAGACGCATAAGGTGCTACCAGCATCATGATCTCCAACTCATTACGCACAATACTGAACCAAGTCCTAACAACAGTCAATGACACAAGGCACTTGAAGTAATACAAACATACTACATTGCCAAATTCTGAAGAGTTTAACATAACTGAGTTGAAGTGGTTCGAAAATTGTAACCCACTATTTTAAAAATGAAAAAAACTCTAGCCATATCAGATTTTACTTGTGTTATAAGCCTAAGTCTAGAGCCAACAAATTACAAGAGAATCATCAAAGATTAGCATATTCAGATACTCAACCAAGTAATATCAAAAACGCAAAGCAGGTTACTTCTTAATATTGTTAGATTGGTATGAGAAGAAAATAAGGACATAAAAGACAATATGAGCTGGCAGGTTTACATTGAGACATTGAAAAACAGTGTTGCGAATGATTATCAGTGTAACATTTGTAATAAGGTATTGAGTTTTGAGTCTAGGGTTTTGGTTACCGCTCAAAATTTCGAGATTTACCATGGTTACCGCATATTTCAGTCCCCCTTAGTAAATGGGCATTTCCAGCATAAAAATTTGCTTTTTTGAATTTTTTGAATTCTAACGCTCATTGTATAGTAAAGTGTAGCAGCACCTCACAGCATGCGTGTAGACAATGTTCCACTGAGCTAGTAGCTCTTTTATGATAAATATAAGTTCAAGTGCTATCTATATCTATTTTGAAAGAATTTGAATTCAAAATTCAATTATAAATTTCATTCAAAATTCGGTCGAAATTTTCTCGAAATTTCGTGGTAACCACATTTACTGATCCCCCTCGGTAAAAATGCCCCATTCGGCAACCAAAACCTTGGTTCTAACCCATGTTCGCATTTTCAGGCATTGAAATGGTGGAAGTGCCTGCAGGCGAGGTTCACTTGCTGTGCACCGACACTGACACATGCAACAAAATTAAATGCGGTTCAAGAGATTAGAAACTTATCAAACTTATCATAAACTAACAAGTGAACTCAATAATATTCTCAAGGAGCAATTTCCAATCACGATTGTTAACTCAATAAATTGTTTGATGAACCAGAAAAAACACCATTGTCGTTACATGCAATAACAGATCAGTACGAGTACCATAAATATTTATAAAATGACAAAAAAAATTATTGTTGGACAATAACACTGTCATGAATACCGACAATTCCATTACACGAAACACAACCAAATTTCAGTCTTATAATTTTGGCTATACGATAGCCGAATGACGTACACACCACGCGCCAGACACATCTGAATAGAAACATCA